CCGACAGCGGTAGACACACACTCTTGCCTGTAGCTCGAGTCTTCACCCCTCAGGTGGGAATCCTCTTCTTGTCCTCCCTTGTCACGGAAGACAAAAGGCTTCGCCCACAAGGCGGAACGCTACGCACTCTGGCGCATACTTTCTTCTCCTCCTGCTTTGTCACTAAGGACAAAACCTTCACCGACAGACGCGGAGGGATACCCTACGCACTCTGGCGTTAACTTCCTTCTTCTGCTGCTTTGTCACTAAGGACGAAACCTTTGCTGACTGATACGGCTGAATACCCTACGCACTCTGGCGTTAACTTCCTTCTTCTGCTGATCTCCCATCTCTGCTGCTCGGTTAAATACCTTCCGCGCGAGATTCCAGAAAGTTCTCATCATTTCGTCGGCGCGATACGCAGCGAAGGCTGGGGAGAGGGCGAGACGTTACGAGGGCCCTCCGCGAAGGATGACGCAACCCTGCCTCACCACGCCCCTTTCCATCGAGAACTCTCTAGGGCTTGCTCGGCCGCCGATGCGAGGAGGTTCGTTGGCGAACCTACGCTTCCGAGGGGAGAGAGACGCGCGCCTGGGGAGTCTTTGGTTGTTTGTTTTCTTTTTATATCGTTGACCTCGCGGCATCTCCCCGACGCTTCGTCACGAGAATTTGGCGGCGCGCCCTTTTTGAGCGCTCGTTTCGTGACAACAGGTGAAGTAGACCACTGCGCGAATGTTATATAACCAAGGTGGTTATGCTCCACTGTTCACGCAAGGCGGAGCCGAGAACGTTAGCTTCACTTGTCTTTGAATCACGCAAAAGCAAAAGCACTGCAAATTCTGGAGGTCATCTGTTCGCCTACGTGGAAACAGGCTCCGGCGACACATCTCTCTCCGTGAAACATTCAATCCTCACTCATTTTTGTTCAGTACTTCTCACAGCTGAGCTGCAAGCGTACCACTTTCTAAACTCTGCAGTTCACTGACAACTAACGTGGGTATGCAGACGAAAAAAAAAACGATGCACATAGGCGTACATTCTGCGCCACCAGCTGCGGTGGGTTTTAGTAATATCTCTTTGATACCACTGCCACAAAAGAAACGAATTCAAATAAGTCTAAAGACAACACGGTCACAGAGACCATCTGGCGAACCTCTTTTATTATCAGCAGCGCAGTCATGGACGTCTTGAAAGTAGATTGATTAGAATGTCCATAGGTTACATTGGCAAGTGGGCCTGGTAATAAGGGTGTATGATTTATTTTTCGGCAAGATAAAGTCGTCAAAATGGTAATATACACACATATAAAATAGCATTCCACTGAGTGAAGAAGGAACCTGAACAAAAGTTATTGACACTAATACATACCATTCATGTGAAAGTTGTTTATTTTGAAGAAACAAATATTATTCTGGTAACAGAATATATACCCTTAACTTTCTTGTCCCATTAGCCGATGACATTGGGGATTGTAAACGTATAACGATGGTAGATTTCCTATGACTTGTTTAAAATAGTTTCGACAAGCGGGAAGTGGTCTTACACGCACGAACATATCTGTCACGCGGAGGTCGTAGTAGACCTCGTGCCCTAGAAAAAAAGCCAGAAAAAGCAGCATTAACAAAACTATAGCGCTGCTGCTGAAATATCAAATTCACACTACACACACACACGCACGCACACACACACACACACACACACACACACACACACACACACACACACTTGTACACACACATGTATATATATATATATATATATATATATATATATATATATATGTAGTGAGACTAATAATTCAATGGGCCAGTTAGTCTTCGTAAAGGTATGAGGTCTGGCACAACGGGAGCGTTGTCAACAAGGATAAATATATTTATTTCCCAACAGTTTCGGGAGGGGTCCTCCCTTCATCAGGGGATAAATTATACTAACATGAACTTCCAAACTGCCTTGCTGCCGCGTTCCTCTCGCCTTGAAAAATGTTTGCGAGAGTGAGAGAGAACTAAAAAACAAAGAAAAAAAAGCGAAAAAAAGAAAGAAAGTAGAAAAGAGGACGAACTACTGTCAACACTGAGAACGAAACCAAATGTCCGTGTACGTCCAGTAATATATATATATATATATATATATATATATATATATATATATATATATATTTATATTTATATATGACGAAAAGACCGGTATGCCTAATGGCTAGTTTTTCCATGTTACGACACGGTATTAATGAGATCTAAAAAACAATAATAGTCCCTCGTATACGAGGGGCCATTACTCAGCTGCCCGCTCATAATAAGTTCACGTGCTACGTGACGCCAAACATGCGCATAAAAGAGTGTTTTCACACTCGTCGCTTGGCTTATAGATGGCGCTGACTGTCACTCCTACCTATAAATTAACATATAAACCCAAAAAAGGGGATGGAGTTGAGGCCGCTGTGGTTGCTCAGTGGTTAGAGCCTCGAACGCGTTATTAGAAGGTCGTAGGCTCGATTCCTCCTCACGGCTGGTTATTTTTTCATCCACTTTTCTTTCTTCTGATTCACATTCCATTGGTTCTAATAACTTCCCCTGTACATTCCTTGGCATTACTGTCTGTTAGATCTCATTAATATTCTGTTAAAACACGGAAAAACGAGCCTTAGGTATACACTTCTTTCCCTTATTTCATTAAACGAGGGTCTCGCACTGGCAGAGTTGGTGTCATTAGGTTGTATACGAAAGACTATTAATCAGCTGCCTGCTCATATTAAGTTCACGTTCTACGTGACGCCAACCATGCGCATAAAAGTGCGTTTTCACGCTCGTCGCTTGGCTTATAGATGGCGCTGACTGTCACTCCTACCTCTAAATTAACATATAAACCCCCAAAAGAGGATGGAGGGAAGGCCGCTGTGGTAGCTCAGTCGTTAGAGCTTCAAACGCGTTATTCGAGAGTCGTAGGTTCGATTCCTGCTCACGGCTGCTGATTTTTTCATCCACTTTTCTTTCTTCTTATTTACATTCCATCGGTTCTTATAACTTCCCCTGTACATTCCTTGGCAATACTGTCTGTTAGATCTCATTAGTATTGTGTTAAAACACAGAAAAACGAGCCCTTAGGTATACACTTCTTTCCCTTTATATATATATATATATATATATATATATATATATATATATATGCGAAGGTCGTAGGCTCGATTCCTGCTCACGGCTAGTTGTTTTCCACCCACTTTTCTTTCTTCATATTTACATTACATTGGTTATAATAACTTCCCTTACGCATTCCTTGGCTTTATTGGCTGTTTGATCATAATGTTGTGTGAAAACAAGGAAAAACAATCCCTTAAGTACACACTTCTTTCTCTTATATCTATACATATATAAATAGATACGTACACGTGCATGATTACATGGCAAACACAACTGACCGACTCTAACATGAAAATCGTGTCATGATTGTCATCTAACAATATGACTACATGCAACGCTCATGATGCGCTAGTGGCCGTTTCGCTAGCTTCACTTATACCGAATTTGGTATTACGGCACACGAATAGATGACCGAGGTATGATACTGGTGCAATCGTGATAAACATGAGATGCGTGTCATGTAACAACATGACTACATGCTACGCTCATGATGCGTTCGCGGCCGTTTCGCTAGCTTCATATGTACTAAACTCGGCATTAGGCGACGCGATCGGACGACATAGGTAAATGACACATCCAACCATAATAATAATGACATGTGTGTCATGTAACAACATGACTATATGCCACACTGAAAATGCGCTCGCGGCCGTTTCGCTAGATTTACATATACCAAATTTGGCATTACGGGACGCCAATGGATTACGAAGGTATTTTACTGGTGCACATACGATAATTATGAGATGCGTGTCCTATGAGAACAAGACTACAAGCCACAGTCAATGCGTCAATACATTTCAACATGATGCAGTACGCGTCCTCGCCGGCGTTTCTTTTGTCACGTCACGCCGCCGTTGCTACGCCAGGCACCGGTCCTGCCCTATACTCGCAGGTGCGCGCCGCACTTCGTTGCTTTGACGCATGCGCGTTTCAGCGCGTCCGGCGTCCTTTCGTCACGAAAAGAGGGAGACACAATGCTGTCTCGGTAACACATCGGCGCGAAATGCATCGTGTCGCATTTCGCGCCGTTTGCCGTTGGGCCACCCTGACGCACGCTGGTCGCGCCTGGCATCAGACTATAGAGTGCTCGCGTTACCTAACGTTGCGTCGCTGCGCCCAGCGTGTGCACGCAATAACGCTACAATGGAGTTCTTCATGATGCGCTCGCAGCCGTTTTGCTAGCTCCAAACATACCAAATTGGTGTTACTTGACGTCGTTGGAGGAGAAAATATATGACTGGTGCAAACATGATAATCCTGACACGCATGTCACGTAAGAACATGACAACATACCACTCTCATATTGTGCTCGCGGCCGTTAAATTTCACTAGCTCCAAAGAATACGAATTTGGTATGACGTGGCGTGAATAGATGACGAAGTTACACGACACATTCAAACATGATAATGATGACACGGAAGTCATGTACGGCATCATTTACCTCCACTTGGTAAAGTTCTGCTGCTTTTAAAGTGACATATCAACATTTCCCATTCGTGCTTCACATATTATCTATTATCACTGTAGGTGAGATCTGCCAATTTTTCATGAGCCATAAAAGCCTCTCGCCTAAATTATTTATGTAGTTAATTACACGGTATGCTTCACCTGTAAAATGTCAACTCCGTATTCACAGTGAGTGTTGACACAGACATCTTAAAAATGTCCTACTTAGCTTCAGCATTATGAACCTCGTAGCTATGAAGCAGCACGAAGCAATGAACGAATATTATATTTGTTGGGGTTTAACGTCCCACAGCCACCATAGAATTATGAGAGACGTCATAGTAGGAGGCTCCGGAAACTTCGACCACCTGGGATTTTCGCAATAAAAACGTGCACTAAAATCTGAGCCCACGGGCCTACAGGATTATTGCCTTCATCGAAATTGTGACCGCCGTGGCAAGGATTCCATCCCGCGACCTGCGGGTCAGCAGCCGAGTGCCTTAGCCACTACATCACGGTGGCGGGTCAGAAATGAACGAAACGTCCGGCGACATTAGCGGAATGTCACATGCAAAATCCGAGCAAGTACGTCCGCCTCTTTCCTTATTTGGCATGTTCAATGATGATGAAGGTTAATTGCGACGTACAACACGGTCTAGTATGCGTGAAAGATCAGAGTGGTCAGACACAGCGCTTGTTCGCAATAGCAGCTCTTTGCGCCACTCAAAACCACGCGCGGTGCGCGATGAAAGGAGGCAAAAGCGGGAAAGCATCGTCTGCTCTGCCCGCCATCGTTCCGCTCTCTCACAATGCCACACGCCGATCCACCGGGGGAAGGCGCAAGGCTGCGATTTCTGGAAAGGTCTATGAGGAAGTACATAGCAAGGCAAGTGCACGTGGGACGTTACGGAGCAGCACTGATCCCTTCGCCAAATAGTAAAAAAAAAAGTGATGGCCCCGTAGCAACTGCACATTCAGTGAACATAGTAGGATAGTTTGAAATAGCCAGTTATACGTGCACAAATGTTCTCTTTCGCTGGCGTGGACGAGGGCAATGCGAACCGGCTACGGATGGTTATCGCGTTCTGCTCTTGAGGGTGAAGCTAAAGCGCTTTCCAAGTTTTCGCAAATATTGTTCGTAAACAATACGACGCTAATAAAAATAAACGAAAGATGGCCTGAACGGACGATTCACGCTCTCCTCAAATCTCTCTTAAGATGCTGCAATGCAGAAAATACATCTGTATTAGTGTAGAACGAACAAATCGCTAAGGCTGCGTTCTTCTGTCACAAGAGAAGATAGAGCAGTTTATCGAAGAGAACAATCTGAAAGCAGGCTTCCCCCACATACAACCGTAATAAAGCTCTCATAGTGGTGACAAATAGGACGCTAAAAATGCGTTTCAGAGCTGTTTTTGTGAGACAGGATGCTAATCACATGTATTCTAGAAAAAATATTCTTCGTTTGATAAAGGCGAAAGGCTTTTCCCCGCATGAACCTAATAGGTCAAACTCAGCAGGGCTATGCTGTAAACAATGCCATGTAATGCCATGATTCTGCACATCTTCCTTTCTCCAATGGCTAGTATACGCTCGCGAAATTTCATGTTTTCCACGAAATAATACAGTTTCCGAGCTCATGGGTTTTAATGTTCGCTCACGATCTTATAGTATATACAAGCTTCACCCGCACAACCGTGGGACGCTTTTACATCACCTGTCAATGAGACTCCTGCAAGCTGGTTTCTTTTCGAATCGCAAGTTTTCAAGAATAGTTGCACCAATTGCACGCATTGCACGAATTGCAAGCATAATTGTTATTTGTCAATGCTAGTGCCACGCCTTACGAATTATAAGGATTCGTCCTTTCTTCCTAAACAGCGACTTTTGTCTTTGAAGTGGTGTCATTGTCTTTAACGACTTCAATGAGTGACGTCTGTATTCAAAGACGAACCAGTTGAAATACGCGCAAAGGGATAGATGTCACACGAATGAGGCAATGTTAGTGGATGGAAAGTCTCTACAGATTTTCTTAGCGTGGGACTGCAATGCTGAAGATGAAGCTTGTATATTTTTAGTTGTGAGTGACTACCGTGCATAGTGAAATCTCTCTCTACAGCGTAAGAACCAATTGAAAACACGTACAGTCTGTAAGTGACTCGACCTTAATAACAGCACATGACTGGTCACGTGACAAGAACTCCAGTTTTTCAACTCTGATGAAGGTGTCTGAAAAAGGAAACAAAGTAGATAATGAGCACTTGTGAAATATTGTTCGATACATCTATACATAGCCAAAATTGCATAAGAATGCCCATTATTGTAGGGCTTTTGGAAAATTGCGGTTCATAAGGTGAAACAGGGATGTTTGCAGTTGTGTTTCGGTAGACACAAAGTTGTCGTTTTAGCGAAGCGAAATATAGATTACGAGGTTCGAGTGTTGAGTCGTTAATGCTCAATAGATAACATAAGTGCTCAGAGCTTCAACCGTTGAATAATAAATTTTATTTATTGCAGAAAGTAATGTTGATTAATCTTACATTCCCAGATGGCGGCCTTGCGCCTTATAGTCAACGAAACTTTATAAGGATGTCTACTTGATTGACAATTCGCTCATCTGTCATTGATATCTGAGCAAATCGATGCGCTTATGTTTTAGGCATGTAAAACACTTCGAAGCATGAAAGTTTACAAAAATAGCGTCATCTATATCAACGTATTCATTAAACCTGACGCAATAAAGAAGGGCATACCAACTCAACTAGTGTAAAACCAAGGTAGAGTGCAGATTGCATGGAGTTTTTAGTTAGCACGTACACTACAAATTCTTAATATTCAACTACACACGAAACAAATAGCCTACCGGCAATACATTACAAGTACGCATTCTACGCCTATAGATTATTTTCTGTAGGACACCTGGTAACCGCCAACTTGGGCTCTTAAGCCAGTGTTTTTTTGTTTTTGCATATCGCGATATGAAATAACAAGGACATGAAACACAGCATGCAAAAACACATCCGCGTTCACGCGCTTGCGTCTACGGTAACACTGTCTGCTTAGTTGTTATATACAAAAGAGAAAGGTTAACAGAACAACATGATGACACTGATACTTATACATAAAATAGTCTATATATATGTAGGAACGGCAGAACGGTTGTAGAACATGGGAATTTCATTTCTTCCTATTGAAGAACTAGCTAGCCGAGGCTGCTTGCACAATGCCAGCTTTGGCGATGTCTCGCAAGAACGCAGGTGCATTCTCTTTCTTTGCAAGCTGGTAGTTACGAGGTTATAGCTTTGTTTATTGTGAGCTAGTGAAGGGGAAAAAATGCCCTCATATCTGCGTGCGTCGCTGCAAATGTCGAAAGACCACAGTTTTCTACCAGCCGTATTACATGAGCCCTGGTTACATGAGCCCTGGTCTCATGCGTCACCTCTCGTGATTCTGTTCTCGGACCATTTACTCCAGGTACGATCAATTCAATTGAGGATTGATTGAGCAGATTTCTTGTTACCGCATTATCACTGCATGGCACGCCATATGTTCATACCTCCACCGCATGCCAGCCGTGTGTTGGTCGCGTGTAGCAGTGTATAGCCAGATATTTCCAAAAAATGCATTTTTAAATGTAATGTATATTACAGCGTGGAAGGCGGCGCGCACGTGCTACTGGTGCGCCGAAGTAGACGCCTCCCGAAGTAGACAACACTATATTATGAGAATAGGGTTTTTCTTTATACGTAGCATTGCATTTTCAGTGCAACCTAAGAAACACTACTAAGCAGCACAGCACTTTCCCCATTATAGTTCACACATAAGGAACAATGGCCCAATGAAGGCCCAGTTTCGCCACTTAAAAATCAATTTTGGGAGAGCCAGCCTATACGGGAGGAGAAGGAAGCAACAAAAGGGAGAAGGCAGGGAGGTTAACCAGAAAGACATCCGGTTGGCTTCCCTACACTGGGGGATTAGGGAAGGGGACAAGAAAGACGAGAAAAAGGGAAGAGAGGGAAAAGAAAAAAATAGGGTGAGGAGAGGCTGACAATAATTTCACTGTAGCGTGTAGAACTCTACCGCATGTCCGAGGCGTTCGCACAAGCCTGTCTTTCTCAGGAAACACAGCAGGGCTTTCACTGCCTTGTGGGCTGTCGAGGCATGTGGACGTTGCTGTAGTAGCACCTGCACAGAAAGAGGCCGATCATCAAGTCGCCGCATTGCGTTGGCAAGTACTTGTCTATCTGAAGCAAATCGAGGACAATGGCACAGCAGGTGTTCAATAATTTCGTCGGTGCCGCAAACATCGCACGCCGCACTGTCAGTAATTCCGATTAACGTGGTATAGGCTTTCGTGAAAGCAACTCCCAGCCAAAGGCGATAGAGAAGCGAAGCTGCACGTCGATGTAGGCCGGGTGGAGGCCGGAGTTGTAGTGAAGGATCGAGCTCGTGCAGTCTGGTACGTCGTATGCTTGGTGTGTTTTACTCAGTCAGTGTGAGACAGCGGGCCACTTGACGTATCTCCCTCGCCGCATCCGCTCTTGAAAGCGGAAACGGAACGCTGTTTGCTTCTTTATGTGACGTGCGAGCAGCATGATCAGCAGAATATTGCCGCCTATACCACAATGCCCAGGTAACCACTGAGAGACGATGTCATGGCATTTTTGTATTGAAAAGTGGTGAAGTTTCACGGTTTGGTAGGTCAACTGGTCGTGGCATCCGCGTCGGGGAACTGATATCAGGCACTGGAACGCTGGTTTTGAGTCAGAAAACACAGCCCATTTACCTGGTCTTTCTTCTGAATTGATGAGTTTCGGTGCATTGCACAGAGCCTCCAGTTCTGCCATCGTTGACGTTGTCACATGTGAAGTCCTAAAACACCGAGTTGCCGCTTGTGATGGTATAACCCCTGCTCCACCTGAACTAGACGGCGTAGTACAGCCATGCTGGCCGTTTACTAAACACACAAGCATGCGTGGCTCACCAAGCATAGCCATGCGGCACCGCTTAAAAAAGATGACAAAACAGCCTTTTGTTGTCAGCCAACAAACAAAAATGACACTTCTAATACGCTTCAAACCTGAAAGCGCAAAATATAATGAGGACAAGAGACACATATAGGCTGGACGAAGCGCAGTAGCGCTTAGACCTGTCTATTGGTGTTTCTTCCAGTCCTCCTTGATACTTCGAGTTTTACAATAGCCTGGATTCTTTTATGCAATTCGCAATGCCCACGGCCTACAGGCGGTGCACCGTGCAATCGAAGATGGCTGCTGGAGGACGAGCGAACCCATGAACTTGAATAAGAAAAGATAGGATGCATGGACGTGTACCCCATGCCACTTTCATCGGATGTAGACTCTAAGGCAAAATTACCCGAAAAGGAGTAACGGAGCCCAATAGGCGCGCGTGATGAACAGATAGACCGTTGAGGAGCAACCACTGAGGAAAGCGTGCCGCGTGAAACCATTAGTCTCCAAACACGCTCCACTAGGGACGAACCACCCGGGGATTACAAGCAGTGCGAAAAGCGTTGGCAAGGTGACCAGCCCTCCTTCTCCACAGAACACATGTCCTCATCCTCCTCTGCTGGCCCAGTCTTTCCCCGTATTTTGCCGGCGACGATTCTCGTTGCGTCGCGCTCGGAGTGCTCGACCACGGCCGCCTAGATTCGACGATCTAAGAATTACGACGTGGTGCTTGTGTGTACGATTGGATCAGCGTGGGCTGCTGCTTTTACGTCTCTCTGCACCCATGGAGTCTGGAGCAAGTCTCGACATGTAACCACGCCGCACTCTATATCTCTGGCTTCAAGATAGTCACGACCAAAACCCGACAGCAAGAGTTGGGAAGGCCAATATGGCGGCTAAGAAGACAACAGGCCTATCGGATATATACTTCAGTCCGCCTCAGGGCAGAAAACAGCACTGGATTCTAAGGCAAGTAGGTTATCATTCTTTATTCTACTCTACCTGTTGCGAGTGCGATGCGGATCGCGCTTGCCGGCAACGGGCTCGGTCGTGTTGTATATCGCACGCACGAAACGCATCGCGACGGTAAGCTTCGGCGTCTGCAGTTCGCCTGTGCTTTGCGACCACCTGGAGATTGGCCGCCATTGCCGTCGGCCTCCCGTACGCTCGCTAATCGAGTGGTCGCCTGTCTTTGCCGCCGCGATGAGCTGCGGGCTGACGATATTGTGCTGAGACCTCGTCGCTGTGTTGGGAGTCGTCAAGAACACGTTGCGGGTTCTCGTAAAGAGCTTGGTTGTAGTATGTCGCGTGCTGTAAGTGCACCAGCACGGGCTGGCGGGGCTTTCGCTAGCGTCGGAACTCACTGAAAATTGGTCGCCATTACAGTTGGCTTTCGCGTTAGTCGGTCGAAAGCAGCTCGGCGCCGTCCGTCGGCCGCGGTGGCGGACTCGCGTTTGCGCGCTGCACTCGCTCGAGTTTGTGTAAAAGGGCCGCATTACCGTCGATTTCTTCGGCTCAAGCTCCAAACTAGCTCGGCGCTGTTTGTGGTGGCGGCCAAGCGTACGCTCGCTCTCCTGTTCAAAGTTCGATGGCGGCAGACACTCCTCGTGCAGCCACGTGTTGGGTCTCGCGTTCGCTTGCTCGAGCTGAACGACGTCGCTCGCTTAGGACTCGCCGACTTGTTGGCGGCAAGGTGGTTCGCGGGGTTGGGGCGGCGGCCGCCGCTCCTAAGCTGTTGCGCTACGGGGATCGAAATGAGTCTTTGACGATGTGTGACATCATGGTGAAATTATTAGCATGTCATATCTCACGGATGTTTTCATTTCACCTTGCACGTATTTCTCGTATGCATTTGTATTCATCCTCTGTCACGAGTGACTCACAATTTTACATATTTATTGGGGAGCCGTGGGCACACACCATGCTGCAAACTCTGTGCGCTGGCGTCTGCGATGCCTGTCATTCATCTCTTTCGTCAGAGCAGCTTCAGAAGGACTGAATGAGATATGAAGGTAAAGTTATTTGTGTGTCTTATTTTAACGCTTGCTTTTATATTAATGTGTATGTACTTGTCATATGCGCGGATCTTCATCTTCTGTCACGTGTGTCTAACTATATTTACTATATTATTGTACGTGCAGCCGTGGTAACACAAAAGGCAGCAGGCTGCGTGCGCTGGCATCTGCAATGCCTGTCATCTACCGCTTTCGTCAGAGGAGCTCCCAAAGGAGTGAACAAGATTTGACAACGAGCCTGGAG